TTGCCAGGGTGACAGCGCGGTCGAAGGCGACAAGTGCGAGCTAGTACACGCTCTATCGCAAGCTCTTGTTCTGCGAAAGCGCTTCTCAAAGTCGCTCTTGCATGCCTGTAGCCTTTGCTGCCCTACAGTGGTAATGGTAGGCAACTCCGGCTGACACAAGAAATCATCCCATCACTGCCACACTCCGTTTTCCTTTAAAGGGCTGCTGAACCGAAATTTGGATTTCAGAAAACGATGCAGAAGCCGTAGGCGGGACGCTACAATCCCTAAAACACTACTCGTAGTCACAAGGCGATATCTCGAATGGACGGCCGTATTTGGAGAAAAAGGTTGAGATTGAACGAGACCGATGAGGCGCGTGACGTCGAGATATCTCGTTTTCTCCTCTCTCTGCTTCGCCCTTTCAAGGCGGCGAGGTGGAGGAGACGCGAGGTCGTTCCCTTTCCTTCTCGGAGAAACAAGACAAACAAATCTGTCAAATGCGCCTCCTATTTTTAAAAATAGGGTCATCCATTCGAAATATCGCTGTATGAGTGATGTTTTGGTGTTTGTAGCATCTTGTTACACGCTTTTGCCGCCGTGTTTTATGGAATCCAGATTTCGGTTCAACATCCCTTTAAGTGCAAGTGAAACTGAAATGCCAAGAATGAGCACGTTGTCCTGAACGACAGTTGCACTGCACAAGCGCGCATGCTTAGCAACATTCAAAGCATGGAGCTTGCTCTTAAAGCCTCTGCATCAGGCTTCCTGTTGCAGCTTGTGGTACCGAAGCAAGCTTTTGGGCAGACACTTTTTTATAAGCAGAAACTTTACCTGGCACCGCAGAGCTCCAACCGGTACTCGGAGTACTTAGTTGCAGTACTTTAGATAAAACAGAAGGGCAACAGGCGAAGTAGAAACTTCACCTGCACCGCAGTGCTCCGACCAGTACTCGAAGTATTTAGTTGCGGTATTTTAGATAAAACAGAAGGGCATTGAGCAGTGCAAACTACGATTATTGTCAGGTAAGAAGTATTCAGCTGCAGTAATTGTTTTGCTTTACATACAAAAAGGCTGGAGTATGCTTAAATGCTGGGCTAGCCCAATTGCTACCAGGGGCCCTATGCTACACGACGGGACCAAGCGGAATCAAGGGACCGGGAGCCATCCAGCGACCTGGATGCAAAGATGGGTTCAGCTTCCACGGGATTGGTGCCACCTGGATCTTGTCCCAAAGGGCCAGCACCAGCTGGATAGCCTCGCATTGCGATGCGGGGATGGGGATGCCGAGCGAGCTCGGGGCATGCCGCCCACTCAGTGTGAGGGCCAGGTGCTCCCACTGACTGGCTAGGTGCATGTTGACGAGTTCCTGGAAGGTGTTGTTTACACTTAGCCGCCGGAGCTTGGCGTTCGACGCGTATGGCGGCACCCCCAGTGCCAGCTAGTACCCCTTGCGAATAATCACGTCCATCTTGCCCTTACCTCTCGACAGCAGGTTGAGATACGGATTTGCGCAGGCGATGTGGCTCACGACGAGTGGTTCGGGTCAGCCGGATCAGGTCCGACTCCTCGAGCCCGTGTCTGTGACTCGTTATCCTTCTCACCATGCGCATGACTTGCGTGGTTGTCTTGACGAGTCGGTTGACCGTGTACTTGGGTCCGCCGTCCCGCTGGAGGTGAAGGCCCCAGGATCCGAACCCGCTTCACCACCGGCACGGGGGTACCATCCTTTAACGTGAGGCGGATGTCCGCCTTCTTCTTCTTCGGGAATTGGCTTGCCCGCGCGGAGGAGCAACAGCTGAGACTTATCGGGGGCGCGCTGGAGGTTGCCGGCCTCGAGGTAGTTCTGCACCGTCTCAATGACTTCTTCGAGGAAGTCTTGCCTCCCGCTGTCCGATCCCGACGTAGCCCAAATCGTCAGGTCGTCCACATAGAGTGGCATAGAGTGTATGCTTCATCCGGGGAATCCGTTCCAGTAGAGGAGGCGGCTTGCACATCGCCAGGTAACAAGGTGGGTGACAGGACCGAGCCTTGCCGATTGCCCTTGCTCGGTATCGGGATGGTGCTTGTGCGGATGGACTCGATTCCGATGGTGGCCATCCAGTTGCTCAGGAAGTCCCGCACATAATCATACATCCAGGGCCCGCACCCAGTTGAGGCCAAGTTCTCGAACACCAGCGTGTGACTGACGTTGTCAAAGGCGCCCTTTATATCCAGGGCCAGGACCGCCCGCGTTGTCGTACAGGAGATTCTGTCAAGGATATCCTCCTTGATCTGAAGCAGGACATCCTGCGTGGAGGTGTGACCAGAACCCGAAAATGGTGTTCATGGTGGCATTGAGTTCAATACAGGATGGTCCCCTCAAATATTGCTGTAAACAGCTGATCAGGGCATGGGCATTTAAGAAACTGAAATGGAGTGTCCAGGTCTGTGACGCTCGGCGGTATACCTGATAACTTCTATTTCTTTTGGATCCTTTTCAAGGGAGTATATTTTCCACTTCGGGGCACTTTTCTTGTTTCTGGCACTTACTACTGCAGGAACTGTTTCACCCTCACTTTCTTCTTTGCTTTCACAGCACTCATTTGATGTTAATGTGGAAGGGAATTGGCCGGATTCCACTCTTCGTTCCTACGTAAAATGTGCTGGCGTCCAATACCTGCCACAAAAAGGGTACTTAAGATTCCAAAAATAACTAAGAGTCTGTAAACATATGATGCCAGCATTTCTTTTTTTTATTTCCAATGAGCAACATTATATTATGCCAAAACTCTCCCTAAATGCACACTGCATTTCACAGCGCGCTAAACTCTGCCGGAAAAATCGGCGCCTGCACGCAAAGGGGCGTCGTTTCCTCAGCAGTGTATTTTACCTTGTGAAATTTTAAGGCGCTCCTTTCTTTTGCAGCTAGAACATCCTTAAAAATACTAAAAATGCTTTCGCCACGGACGACCGAGTCTTCCACCGGCAAACGCTGTCGTTTGCATACGATACGCCTTGAAATTTTCACCCCATGGTCGATCAGGCGCCGATTTTTCCGGTTGCTTTCCCATACCTTGAGCCACCCAGAAACACCGCGCGCCCCCGTAGAAAAAAAAAAAAAAAAAAAGAATGGAACGGCATTGAGTGTTTTGTTTACTTACCGACTTCGTGCGTGGACCGCGCCACGTTGCGCAGCCTGTTGCACCCGCGTTTTGGAACTAATTCAGTTGACAGTTCCCTCCGAAGATGAAGCCACTGAAGCCACGGCGGTAATCGGACTGGTAGGCTGCTCCCTTTCGAGCGGGCGGAAGAAGACTACGAAGAATTCGGCAGCGAACGGGCGGAAACTCGATTACGTACAGCTTCAGTAGTCGACGCTTTGTTTTCTCGATTGCGTTCGCGGCGTTCACCGTGGACTCGCGCACTCGGCCGTAGCCGAACGGCCGAACCAGCTGGACGGCTGCCGGCGCGCGTACCGACAGCGTCGCCATAGCAACCACGCCGCGAGTGTGGTTGCCAGACAGAATTCACACGATTTTTTTTTCTCGTCACTCACGTTGAGTTACTAGAAGTTAGGCGCGTATCATTATAATACATTATGCTGTAAGAAGTTATTAAGGGATATGTGTACCTACCTAAGACAAATACAGAAAAAATATTATTGAAAAATAAAATTGGCGTAATCTTTTCATATCTTGATTAAGACCAGCGTGGTCACCGGGCTAACCGATGCGCGAAATAGGAGGGCATATATACCGCTCGGGGCACTTGTTGTATTGTATAAAAAGTAGGATGTATGTGCTATTTGTTGTGTATTGTGCAGTTGATCAGTGCTTGTATGCCCTTGTGTGTGTACAGTGTTGTGTGTATGTCCATGTCGTACGTGAATGTAATCGCGCGGTGGGCAGCAAAAAATCTGCTGTTTTCTTTTTTCAAATGTTGATCACTTTTTTTTTCGTCGCTAGATGGGGGTTGTCGCCGCCCAATTTGAAAAGTGTGCCGGTTGATGGTCTATAACTATTGGAGGGCTGGATGCCATTAGTCCATCCGTCGTGTTGATCGCTCCGGCGAGTTGTTCGGTTCCGCTGGTAGCTGTGTCGTCGTGTTATGCTGCCTGATTGCAACAAAAGGAGGTTAGGCGGCTTCCCCAGCGCGTGTTCTAGGTGCTGAATGCCGCTGTTCACGCACAAGCGTTCATGAGTGGATAACGCACGTAACAGAGGTGAGCACAGGCAATAGTTAATCGAGAGCCACACGGAGCGCGAGTGCGATACCTCCTAGCCGCTGTCGACAGAGGGTGTCGGAGCGATTCGTTGTCAACTTGTCGTCCACGGCAAGTGGGTGTTTTGTTTAATAAAGCCAGCCTGTCAGTGTTTTGTAAAGCTATCCCTTCTTTATAAGCGCTTCTGATGCGATGAAAATGCGACCGGCATCGAGCAGGCCGAGCGAGACTTCGGCGACAGTCTTGGCTGTTCATTCTCCAGCGGTTTCGGCCTTACTCGTATTATTTGCGGTGTTGGCGCTTGGACATAGAGATGTTTGGAAAGTTTTTTGCGCCTACAGATGACACCAAACGAGTGTGCGAGCCGTATGCTCTTGCTCCGGCGAGAAGCCGCGTACGGCTCGCCAGGCTCGTATCGCCTGTCGCATACTGGCCGCCATATTGTTTTTAGGGTGTTAGCAGTTAACACGATTTTCACCACCTCCGGCGGCTAACACCCTTACACGAATAAAGGCGTTAGCCAGAGGACGAGCCATTTACACGAATAAGGGTGTAAAAATTTTAAGTGTGCATCCTGAGCTGCGCGCAAAAATATATTAAAACGTTCATCAGAAAGAACAAACATCTATTAAAGTAAGTGTTTTTATTTCTCTTTAGTAATACAAACGGCCTCTTTTAAGCGCAAGAATAGTCCTACATACTTAAAATTTACGCATATAGTTAAGCGAACATTTTCAACAAATAACATTTACAAATAACATTGAGAAATATCCTACGTTATAACAATATTTGAAAGCAGCGCAATAGCACGACTCACCTTTTGTGGTTTTTGCGTTCACCACGCGACAGGCCAAGGTGACTAAAGTAACCACAAAGATAAACTGCATTGTTCACCGTTGACTATTTGTCGCTGACAAGCAACTCAATTTGTTGACAAACGCCTCAGATTCTGAAAGCCAGGAAATGCGTCCTAGCAACAGGATAAACGCCCATTTTATATTTTGAGCACCAACGCATAAGAGCCAAAAAAAAGTATAAGCAGCTTGCACTTTTTTCTCCCTTTTAAAACGTAGAATCCGTTCAAATATTTTCTTAAAAAAAAAAAAAAAAAAAACTACAGAAAAAACAACGTAGTCGTCATTAATCATAGCGTAAGGGTAACGAACTCCGAGCTCGAAAAGATGAGTCATATCTAACTAGAGAAAATGCATACAGCTGTTATAGGCGTCATTGATGACTTCGTTGAAAGCTTGTATACGAATACTAAACTACGCCATGAAAAAGGTGCTGAAAACGTAATATAAAAACGTTATTTTACAAAAGATTAAAAATTAATGAGATGGTCAAGTTTGGTTTATCAAACTGAATACTGAACCAAAACATTTTACAATAACGAAACAATATACAATATACACCACACAGGGACAGTTTTGTTTGGATTCTTTAATTTTGTATTTTGAGTCTTAGCATTTACAACACTACGATTATTTGTTATAAACGTTGCTGGCACTATTCCTTTGGTTTAAACGTGTGCTGGTGCTTATTTTATTATTTTTTTATGGTAGTCATTTTTAGATTCTTCACGACCACAACAAGAGGAAAGCAAAATACAATGTGGAGGAATGGGCTAGTTGGTAATTCATGCTTGGACAGTACAGCGCGGAAATACAGTCGAACTTACAGGCACACAATAAAAAACAGCACTGCGAACCTGTCCTTTCTCGTGTGCCTGTGAGTTTGACTGTATATCCAGGCTGTTCCATCCAAGCATAATACAATTCATTTCAAGTGCTCAATTGAAAATCCCAATATTTAAAATATTAGCGGTGGCAGTCATGGTCAAACTTTTAATGACATGCGCCTTTTTTGTCAGGAAAAAAACGTTTCACAATATTAAAAATGACCCACGATAGAGGAGTAAATAGCACACTTTGGAAACCAATTCTAAACTTCGATTGCTTCAACAAAAAACGAACGTTTGAAAGACTTTATCCTACTGCTGTAGGATTGAACCTTTTCATTGTGATTTAGTCTACGTGATTGCTTATGGACTTCTTTTATATAGAGTTCCCGGTCGATTTTTAATCGTATATTATACAGAAAGTAAAACAGTGTTAACCAGGCAACTCTCCTAGTCGCTAATAACTGAAGACTGCACTGATTTAGCATTTTATTCACAGACTGTTTTTTTTTTTAACTTCGAGGATATAAAATGTACTACCAACCTTTAAACATAGTTTCTAATCTTTTTTCAATTTTTTTGTTAAAATTTGAGACACTCATACACCAAAATGGGGCGCATGATTGTTTTATAAGATGTCAGCTTGGTTTCACTAACGCAGTATTTACCTTCTGTCTTACGAGGCATAGGCTCCGAGAAGCAGAGGAGCCAACGTAATTAAAATGTTTTATTATTAGAACTTGTGTGGAATTTTAGCACCGCGGTATTTGAAACTTGCCACATAGTTAAGCTAACATTGTCCAGATTGTAACAAAAAGGTGAGGCACTTTTCATGCCTGTGACGTGAATGTATGCCTATTTAAGAAAATTTATCCACACTTGCCACCCCTCGCTCCACCACCTTAAAAAATTCGAATTCCTGTTGAGGGTGAATAAATCATTTCAGTTGTCTATTGGGGTATAAACAGACAGTCAACCGGAAACAGCTGTAGTTTTGGTGGGTTTTTGGATATGTGAGGCAATGTCGTTCATGTTTGTATATTAATGCAGGAATGGCCAATGACCGATCCCTGAGGTATTCCTGACGATATGGGTAAAAGATTCAACATGCTCCGATTAGTTTTAACTCCGTCTTTGATTTGATAGACAAGCCTCAATCCACATCAGGGTGTTAAATCAACCAATTTGTTTAGTTTTTCCATAATTTTTTTTGTTTTTTATAGTTTTTGTTGCTAAACAAATCAATGCAAATAACACCTATCTGTTTGTTGTTTACGGTGTAGGACAAATCATCAAATATTCCTACAATTTGTGCTACGTTTAACAGACCGCTTCTAAAACCGTGCTGTGGGTATAACATCCCGCCGCTCCTCCAGAAATGTAAATATAATGGGTGTTTCAATGAATGGTTTCAAATATACCTAATATAGTTTTATTGAGTAAAAAAGAAATAATACTTCCGGGAAAAGATTGCCAGCCACGGGAGACGTTCATGAATTTTCAAGAACATATTAATTAGTTAAATAGTTAACCTGTTCGGATTAAAATTAGCTTTATTAAATAGTGAAAGTAAACTAATGATGCAAATGTGAAACTTGGCAGACCTCAATAATAACCGACCAACTCATTTCAGAAAGATATGCCGGAAGAGAAATTCGCGGCGTCTAAAAAAAACTCAATTTGAAAGCACTTCAAGATTTGTGCTTGTCAATAAATCAGCGTGAACTTAATACGCTATACTTGAACACGAAGAAATAAAGGACAGGAAAGGACAAACAGCTGGCTACCAACGATGTTTTAGTGTAGACTTCTTTCTTGGGCGTTTTCTTTTTCTTCAGAGACCACAGCAGAGCACGATAAACTTGTGATATAAAAACCAATTGCATAATAAAAATCACTATTTATATTGTCAAGAATAACAAACGATGAAGTTGGGGAAAACTTAGTAAGCTAAATATTTAATGGGGTCGAATTTGTGGCAGAAACGAAAAAGAAGAACACACGTCGAAACGGAAGCAGCGAGCGTCGACGGCGGCAGCATCAAGCGACGATGCGTCGGCGTAACAGCTGGCTCCCGCGAGAGAAAACCATTGAATGAATTGGCAATACGGCGCTCGGCACCTTATCTGCTATGCTCGTCATCTCGAATATTTGATCTGAAATGTTCGAGAAAAAGCTAGGGCGGACTGACTAGGCAAGGCCATTCTGGTCTCTTTACTTTTAACGCTTGGGGTAAGAGTGTACGCAAATTTTCTAGATGAACGGAATAGCTAAAAAAAGACCCCTGTAAAACGAAAAGTATTCAATGCTACCTAGCGTAAAACGGCTTGAGTCGAACGACATGAACCACCTCGGGTCGAGCTCGTCGTCGTGATGATGTTTGATTCCGTCGGGCGTCCCTTCATAGTTAAGCTCCCCGAGGCGGCCAAGTACCTTGAAGGGTCCGAAATACATACCGTTTCAACAATTTCTAACTGAGGCCGTGCGGACGAATGGGTGTCCACACCCACACCCTATCTTCTGGCTGGAAGCGAACGCCTCGACGACGAAGGTTGTAGCGGCCAGCGCCGACACACTCCTGGCCTTGATTCCGGAGTCGGGTGAGCTGTCGGATTTCTTCGGCCTTTTAAGCGACTACCTGGGCGTCATCGCTCGAATCGTCAGTTGGCTCGTGGGACAGCATTGTGTCCACCATGGTCGTTACTTTTTGACCATGCATCAACTGGAATGGTGTAACTCCAGTGGCCTCTTGAACTGTCGTGTTATAGGCAAACGTAACGTAGAGTAAGACCTCGTCCCACGTCGTGTGCTCCACGTCGACCAACATGGCGATCATGTCGGCTATGGTGGTGTTTAGCCGTTCCGTTAGTCTATTCGTCTGCGGATGATACGCCGTCGTTCGACGACGGCTGGTGTCTGTGAGCCGGAGGATCTGCTGAGTTGGCTGTGCCGAAACCGACAACCCTCGGTACTTCGGGGGCACCGCGCATGAGGACGATGGCCTAGACGAAGAACTTGGCTACTTCCGCAGCGGTTTCCGACGGGAGTGCTTTCGTCTCGGCGTACCTTTTGAGGTAATTGGTCGCGACGATGATCTACCGGTCTCGTTGCGTCGATGGTGGGAACGGTCCAAGCAAGTCCATTCCGGTCTACTGGAATGGCCTAGTCGAGGGAGTGATCGGCTGCAGAAATCCTTCCGGCTTCGTCGGTGGTTTCCTGCACAGTTGTCATAAGCGGCACGATCCGACGTAGGGATGGACAACCTTCGGGAGCTTGCTCCAGTAGTATTTTTCTCAAATCCGTGGAAGTGTACTGTTGTAGTCCAAGTGCCCCGCCGTCGGATCGTCATGCCACACTTAGAAGATTTTCGCTTGAAGACTTGCAGGGGTATCCAGCAGTCACGTCGAGTAAGTGCCGCCGAAGGTTTCCTTGTACAGTACATTTTCTCAAACAGCGAAGGTTGTCAGGGATTGTGCGAAGACACGTGGAACTGCACCCCATTGTCCCTCTAGATGCGCGATGAGTGCACGAAGCTCAGGATCGTATCGTTAAAGTGGTGCCATCTTGTTCACGGTCACCGCGCCGACAAAAACGTCGTCGTCGTTGTCAGTGCGCTCAGACGCCAACTTGACTGGTGCTCTCAACAAACAATCGGCGCTGCTGTGCCTGCGGCCGGACTTATAGACCACACCCACGTGGAATTCTGGAAGTCGAAGGCTCCACCGTGTGAGACGTCCTGAGGGATACTTCAGGTTTACGAGCCAAGCAAAGGAGTGGTGGTTTGTGACCACTCGAAAAGGGCTTCCATACAGGAACGGGCGGAATTTCATGATGGCCCAGACGACGGCAAGATATTCCTTCTCGGTCATCGAGTTATTTCGTTCCACGTTAGATAACGTCCGACTAGTGTGGACATCACGCGCTTTGTACTCTCTTGTCGTTGGACCAGTACCGCGCCGAGTCCTGTATTGCTAGCATCCATCTGAAGTTCTGTTTCGGCTGATTGGTCGAAGTGGCCAAAACTAGATAGCGACCGGAGTCTTCACCTCAGCTCGTCGGATGTCTGTTATTCTTCGCCATATTCGAAGTTCACGGTGTCTTTCGTCAGGTGCTTGAGCGGCACAGAAAGCTTGGTGAAATCCCGATCTAACCATCTGTAGTACGCGTAAAGACCCAGGAATCTTCAAACGGCCTTTTTGTGGGTGA